CAAAGTGTAATCTCTCTGGGAGGGGTGAGGCCTGTGCCTTGTGTCCCATGCTGCCTGCCGTCCTTGCTCTGTCTCTTTTCCTCCCCTCCTCCCTGTCCCTGCTGCTCTCTCAGGTCTTGCAGGGGGTGATTGTCATCGGGACAGCACCTCTCTAGGGTGGAAGCCTGCTTTTATACACACTCGCAGACATGCACGTCTGCAAATGCAAACATGGATGCGCATACCTGTTCTGACCATGTGTTCTGCTTCCTTCCTAGATTCTGTGATATCTTTGTCTGACCTCATTTTGGACACCTGCCTGGTAACCGTGTGCGTCTCTGATTTGCTGTGAGCTCAGCGTGACAATAGCTAATAGGTGCCGTAAAGCACACAGACATTGTCCATACATACACACCCCCCCGTGAGATCATGTCTGTGCACAAGCTTCCCAGAGCACGTTGACCCCTCCTCGTGACTGTGGCTTGTGTGTTGCCTGTGTGAGGTGCCGTTGGGAGATCTGGGCGTCTTTGTGGTTGGCTGCATGTGGATGGCGAGTTGAGCGAAGCAGGGGAGTACATGTCTGCAGGCTGTCCACATCTATGCATGCATGTCCACATCCATGCATGCATGTCCACATCTATGCATGCATGTCCACATCCATGCATGCATGTCCACATCCATGCATGCCCGCTGCAGCTCTTCTTTGGGTCCTATCAGAATGACCCTTGTGTAAGTGTGGAACAGAGAAGGTGCATAAGATGAAACTAATAGGCAGGTCTGTCTGTATCAGTGAAATCCAGGGCGCCGGTCCAGCCCTGTAGGTTCCGTCTGACCAGTGTTTGTCCATCCCTGCCTTACTCCATGCTACCTGCTCAACCCCTGATATGCAGAGTTAAGCTAGTGTCACGCCCTGCTGTCTGCATCAGGGACAGGTTGCTTTTACCACCGACTTCCTCCCTTCTAGCACATACTTTGCAGATTGCAGTGAGCTGGTCTGTCACTATCCTGCCATTAAGAAACACTCTCCATCCAAAACATGTTAGGTTGGACACAAGTCATATACATTTTCAGGTCTTTTCCTCATCTTTCTTGGCGTTTATTGCCCATTATCAGGTAGCAGGTAGCATAGTAATTAGGGACGTGATTGCTGGGGTCTGGTGCTAGCTCATTCTGGGATGTAGCATATCAAGCAGATAAGTGTGAATTCATTGCCTGTGAGAAAGCATGAGAGTTATAATTACAGTGTGACGCACGCTGTTCTCAGCATTGACACCTAAACAGCATAAATGACAGCAAGTCTTGGCAGGTTTATTGATTTATTTTCTGACAAGTGATATTTTCCCTTTTTGCTGTTTATCCAGTCTGACGTTTTAATGTGCTCGTTGTTGTCTGGTTGAACACACAGATGAGGATCCTTCGTTTTTCACATCCAGAGCTAGTTTGATATTTAAAATGCAATGTTACATTGTTAGTGTCATGGTTACCTGAAATGGAGTGTGAAAATGGTGAATTGAAACACTCACCGTGTGGGTTGCTGGCACATCACACATCGACATTGATTCTCTCCCATTGTCACAGAGATTATGGAGTTTAACCCCTTCCCGCCAGGCAGACGGGGTTGGGTAAACCGAATGCTTCCTGTCGCTGCCACAGGGGGCAGACGTAAGCTTCCCTGCAGCCACAGTCCTCCTTCCTTAGTTCATTACCACCAACCCCTCCCGTCTCTTACCACCCATACAGGCAGAGCAACAGAGAACAAACACACTTCCCACAAATGCATTATTATAGGCAGGATGTGTTCAGCCTCTAGATTAGTTACAAGCACCTTGTAGGTGTATAACTTTCCTGCATCTGAGTGTCTGTGTGTGTGCGCATGCTTTTCCTGAATGTGCGTGCACATGCCTTCCCGTGTATGCACATGCGTTTTCTGCATTTCTGTGCATGTGTATACCTATATGTTTTTATTGCGTGTAGATTTATAGCTTCCTTTGTGGATTTTTTTTATGTGAATGCCTGTGTGTGTGTTTGCATGCAGTGATGTGTCCATGCACAGAATACCCTCAGATGAGCACACACTCGCATGCACGCACACACTCGCATGCACGCACACACTCGCATGCACGCACACACTCGCATGCACGCACACACAACCCACAGCCGCTGTGTGTGGAAGGTGTCGGAGCTGCCGATGGCGCTCATGCTGTCTCCCACTGACCTACATAATCCAGCCTGAGCAGTGAGTGGAGCCTCCCACGCGTGGAAGGAGGGGGAGGGAAGCGAAGGCTGGCATAAGGAGGCCAAGCTCGCCGCCACCGGCCGCTCCCCACGCATGCACACGGCAGCCGGTGCTGCTGCTGCTGCAACCTGTCCCCAAAACAAGCGCTCTGCCGGCCCTCAAGTGCAGAACGGTCATCGGCAGCCCAAACAGAGGTCTCTGTGAACCTTTCCAGGCAGAGCCCCTAGAATGTACCGATTGGTTTGTGTGGCTGAGCACCGTGGGGGGAGGAGAGGTGGGGGGGGAGTCACTGCGCACTGCCCCAGGGCCCCCATTTGGCTTCTGCTGGGTGTAAATCTGTCTTAAAGCCACACACAGTGTCACCAGCAGCTCTTGAGGCAAGGCTGGGGGAGCATCAGGGGCTGCGTGTGTGCGCGCATGTTCACATGGACGTGTGTGTGTGTGTGTGTGTGTGTGTGTGTGTGTGTGTGTGCACGTGCGCACCCTTGTCACGCCTCATGTACCTAGTGGTGACGTCACCCCCCGAGCGCAGTGCCAGAAGCCCCTGCATTGCAGTGGAGTGTTCTGATCACTCTTGAGCTCTCCCTAAAATGCCGTCTTCTCGGCGAGAATCCTGGGTAACAAACAGCGTCTTCTGTGATGCTCGGTAACCGCACTATATAAATACGGATACAGCCGTACACTTTCTTTTTTTGTTGAATAAATATAACTACATTCCTTTTAAAATAAGCATGTAACACGCCTGCATGTATTTTCGATGAGTGAATTCCATACTTTCATGTTGGCATAAATAAATGTAATCATTCCGTCAGCCAAACTTGTATGCCTGGAGGAGTGAATATAATCATATCCTTCTATATGTGGATAAGTAAATATAGCTGATGTATTTCTATGTTTGGATGGGCTATAAGCACATTGTGGGATGTCCAGGGCATGAAATTTCTGTCACAACATGTACGAATGTAGCGAGTGGACATACAAATTAAGGTGACTTCAACTCATTAAATAGCAAATGGAATAAAGACCATTAATACTCTTAATGAATGTACAGAAGACTGTGGGGTCCCGCAGAATATTTCTGAACCCGAGGACAGTGCCAATCTGAACTAGATCTCATAGATACTGCACATGGCTTACAGTTACAAGCATTTGGTGATTTGCAGGCGCAAAGCCCTTCTCGGGTTTAAACCCTTGAGTTTTAGTCCGGCGGTATTTTATAAAGCATAATGAATCCATCAGACGGACCCGTTGGTGTGCTGGTAAGCGTTGACAAAATCCGGGCTGCTTTTATAAGGACCTGGCAAGCTGATACGACTGATTAGCATCAACTTTGAATCTTGGATAGGATTTTTTTTTTTGGTTAGTGGAATAATAATAATAAATAATTATTCGTGTACTCCGACTTCCCCGTAATTTCATAGGGTGCGTTTAAAATTCTGCCACAAATGTGCCTGCATTTTGTAAAAGGGCAGGTTTTTTGAGTGCTGGGATGCTGTATCTCTGCAGTGAGTTTCCTCGAGCGTATGCCTGCCATAGTCTGGTGGTGTGACTGTATCTATACTGTAGTTCTGTTTCCTGTCTTCGGTCTGGGAATGTGTTTGAGGCGCCCAGAATGGATCTGGTTACTGCGAGGTTCTGTGACATGGTTGGGATACTGCAGCTGGCTCCCCAAGGATTAAACGGAATCTGTTTAAATCCACAGCTCCTTGTGTCAGTCAGTGTTTTCTCCACTTCTCCCTGTTCACTTCGTTCTCCGATTCGTAGCTACTCCTGTTTGATAAACACTGTGTTTGTCTCATTAATGCAGCCACTCTTCGCTTGTGTTAGAGAGGCTTTGTGCGCATCTGTGTGAGACGGACTCTCTTCGTGGACGTTACACTGGACTTGAAAGCGCGGTGGCAGGAAGCTCTGTCATAGAGCTCATTCATTTCTAATGAAGTCGCCTCAGTCATGTGCAGCTGGTCACCCCAGAATACAGATCAGCATTGTGCGGGTCCAAGGATAGCACAGCCCTCTGTTAGCCAAGGCGATGGCATCGCATGATCCATTCTAGGCCGTGATTGAGAAGAGTCTGACTGAGGAGAGACCCTCTGTTGAGGCAGACACGCGCGGGCCATTATTCCTCTCACCAGATCGTTTTCCAAATACAAGGTTTTTTCATGATGTTTGGAATGAATAAATATTTCCCTAAAACTGTAGGGAGGTCTCCAGGTCTCAGGGGTTCGTAAATGATTTAATATTAACAGAGGGGGGGGGGTCATGGGTTTGTAGGTGTGGTTGCTGCCAGACGTACCTTGCTGCGTGTGTTTACACTGCAGAGCTAAGAGGTCCATGTTTTATGTGCCGTCTTAGGTGTCCCATTGGGTCCAGCGGTTAAGTTGGGCTTGGGATTGTTTCAGTGGTCCATGAAGCTACTTCAGGAAACTTTCACCATGGATCCGCCATAAAATTTCCATAATGGATTTGGGATATTTTTTCCCTGCATAGTATTTTTCGTAACATTTCTGATGTTCTTCCTGTGTGGGGAGGCCTCGTTATGGTTTGCATTTCTGACCTGAAGTGAAACCTCACCTGCTTAACCTGCCAGGTCATAACTGTGTTTTTGTCTGTTTACCTCTTCGATCTGCGTGTCCATGACTTTTTAAGAGAGGAAGGCCTCCATTGTGCAAAAATGACTATCTGAGAGGTCACCGCTACAGTTTTGTTTAGGTCAATTGGTCACTGGTAAGTCTGTTCTGCCTTCCCAATAGCTTTAAGCTAGTGATTTGTCTGTGTCTGCCCCCAGCCAACCGAAGAGCTGGCAATGCTGTGACCTCCATCCTGGCCAAAGAGCTGCTGCAGGACGACACCTCAAGCGGTCCCAAGAAGAGCAAGAAGGATGAGAGCAAGGCAGAGGTCCTGCAAGAGGCAGACTTAGAGCTTGATCTGTTGGAGGACGCTCCGTCCCGTGCCAGTTAAAGAAGCTCCTTTTAGCTGCTGGTCTGAGAGAGATGGAGGGGCAATAGACAGACATACTTTTGGTCATATCAGTAGGCTGCCTGCAACATCCCCCTTGTGTAACAGTTCCTGCGTCTTCCCCTTCTCCACTGCGCCTTCGCCTGGCTGTAGGGTAACTTTCTCCATAGCTCCTGCTCTATAACCAGAGCCGGCGCCACATCAATCTCACTTTTGTTCTCATTCTCTTATAATGCACTTTTTTCTTTCTCTGTCTCTCTCTGTCATCTCGCGTAGTCCTATTCCGACACGCCTGACAGACGCATGCGTGTGTGAGACAGGCAGCCCGAATGCTTCTCCCCTTGGCGAGAGCTCGGTGGAATGGACCATACAGCAGACTGTTACCAACAGGTCTGGTTAGTTCTAACATCATGCCGCTGCACCTGCTTGTATCTGTGTACAACTATACAAGTGCAAAGTGCCACATTCCACTGCCGTCACCTGCAATGTGTCCCTGAGACAGTGACACGGCAGAACTCCCCCATTTGCTGTGACATCTTCACCACAATTCGTAGCTGTCTGTGATAAAGGGCTGGATCATCACCACAGTTTGAATGTCTTTTTTTTTTTGTCTCCCATGATAATCTTCAGTATTGGGGATAGTATTGTTGCTGATGTTCGTTGTGCCTTCATATCCTGTTTTTGGAAACGTAGAGCACCTTAACACTGCTCACCTGGCACTGTAATGGCGGGGCCCCTCCCAAGGGCCCTGGATGTTCTGTTACTTCGCTGTCATCCCTGGTCACCCGCTGTCGCTGTAGAAACATGGTGGCCCTGGATATTACTTTAGAAGGAGTAGTAGTCACTGGGGGAAAAAAAGTACAAAAGTGCTTGTACAGTTACTGAGGATTAAAAGTGGTCACTGCTGACCCAGCACTGGGGTGTCCTCTCCCTCACTGCCCTTAAGTCACCCCCCTGAAGTGCACTTAGGAATGGGAAAACAGTCACAGCAGCTGTAGTTGAAGCTCCCGTAAGACCCTAATCCATGACAAGGCTGCGCCTTCACAACACCGGTGAAGGGTTGATATCTCGTTAACATTTTTTACTTTTTAGGGGTCACTGTGGGATCTGATAGCCATACAGACTGTTGGCTCATAGAACTGGGACCAATGTCAAATCCGTAATCTGTATGTTTATAAAGAGAACTATATATGAACAGCCTGATATCAGTGTTGCTCTCTATACCCAGTCCTGGCGCCGTGCCTTGTTGAGAACACATTTGTTGAAATATCATCTAAGTATTGTCTGCCTGATGCCAGTTGGTTGAAATTAAAGAAATACTGTAATATTTGGCTGACTTTCAGAAGCCAAAAGTGCTTGATTATTTTTCTTTTAAAATAAACTTTCTTTTCTATACCAATTTTTATTCTGAATATTTTAATATAAGTAATGGATTCCAGTTGTGACTTCACCAGGACTTTCCAGTTCACGGCGGTATTATTTGTATATTGAACTATCTACTGTACCTAGATACCCTGTTAAGTTGATATTTTCCAGTCCCATACAATAAAGTGTCTTGAATATTGTGTACAGTTTTCTCCCCGGCTTCCTCTGTTTCAGCAATGCAGCGTCGTCCCGACAGCAGCGACTGAAATGCTAAGTACATGTGACCGTCGCTCTGCTTGCGTTGGTTGCTAACTCCAGGCCTGGCGTGCTAATAATGGGGTCCTCCTCCTGCAGCACTGATAGCCTTGAGGCTTGCGGAAGTGGGATGTCGCCGCATACACTTTCATTGTCGTATTAAAGTTCACACATGGGCTCCTGCTGTTGGCCCTGTGGTTTCTTAGCGGAGTAGAATCTGGCCCAGCGTGATACCGCATACCTTAGTCTGTGTAAACTGCCCACGTTTTTTACTCTAATTTGGTATTTTGGTTACAACCCTTGGTTGAAAACAAAGTGTGTGGCTTATAAAAAGACACCTGTTTTGCATGCGGCGTGTGGGTTTTCTTTCCTTAGGTTTTCCATCTCCACCCAAGGGGGAGGCTGAGAGTGCAAGTCTCTCTGGATGTAGGTCTTCAGCATTATAGTAGCTTGAGAAAGACTGTGTCTCTAAGCAAGTCTGCACATCTCTCTCAATGCCGAAGCCTTTCTTTTTGTTGTTTTCCCCCCAAGGAATGCCAGTTGTCAGTGTTTTGCCCACTGATGTAAGCGTATATAATCCCAGTCATGGGAGCATCATTTAAATTAACTTTGAGGGGTCGCGTTCAGCCTAGGCCTTGCCACAGTGACCCCAGCTTATGGGATTTATGGGATGGGGGGGGGGGGGGGTTTTCCTTGTGCTGGCATCTGGTCCATGATACCAGCCCGAGCCTCCTAATGCGGCCTGAAGAGACGGGCAGGCTGTCCGCCGCACCGTGCCTGACCTCGCCGAACTATCAACCTCCAGGACGCCTGTGCCTAAAGTATGAGGCCCACTGGAAACAGTGGGAAACCTTGGGTACAGTGAGCGTGGTGCTGTAGCCACTCCCACCTGCATTAATTCAAGGTAAAACCATTACCGCTGCAAAATACATCAGATAGGAAGCACAGTTGGAAAGCAGTTGGACCGGTTTGTTATCATGGCAACTTTTGTTTTTTAAACTTCTTCATTGTATGACCCAAAGCATTATTTTATTTTTTTTATGTTCCCTTCAAACGACGTACCCAGTTACCCTGTGGGAGCTGGGCTTCATAATATGGCACAGACCAGACAACAGCCAATCGGGCTCTTTCATCTTCATTGTGCTCATGATGGTCTTGGAAACCACAGGCATCTTTCACTGTGCCTCGCAGCTCGCTGATTGCCCCCTTTTCATCTCCTTAATTGAACGCGACTCTACATAAAACAAACTTTCACATTTCCCGTGCCGCTTTTACACCATGCTGAAGCAATTAATTGGCAGACAGATTCAATCTTCCTGTTTCCTTTGCTGGAATCATTCTCTTCTTGTTTTGCCCTACAGCAAAGTCCCACTGTGTGGGAACCCAAGAAGGCTGTGGTCTTAAAACTCTGCTGCAGGCCCACACCCATGTAGAGGATGATGTTACAGAAGTGGCTCCATTGGAACTACCCCAGGGTAACTAAAGGCCCCCATGAATGTGAAGACTGTGACAGTAAACTGGTGTTTTCTGTAAGTACATGTGATTGACACCAGGGTTATTTGGCAAAGCTAGCATTCAGACCTCAAATTTTCAATAGACAAATGTGTAGGGGGGGGTCCCTTGATTCTTGGTGCTTGACTCAACTCTTCAGCACAGTGAGGGTATCTGATACATACCCTTAATACCCAACATTTACTGAGAGCAGAGGTGAAGTTCCAGAAAGTAAAAGGACCAAGATTTTGTTTCAACCAAGTTGAGTACTCTGTGACTGTGTGTCTTGATACTCAACCGCTTGGCTGAAACCAAATCTTAGTCTGGATTTTTTACTTTCTGGACCTGAACTATCCATATGATGGAGAGTAAATGCTTGGTTCCATTTGTGTATGGGGTAATGTTTGTACAGGACTGGTAAAATCACCTGGTTTTGGTATGACTCTTTCAATACCAGTGTTCTCTGTGGTCACCACCACCTTTACATACCTTCATAACGTTGCATTGTGTTGCTGCTGGGATTAAAAACACAGAGGAGCTCTTTCCTGTTGTATTATGAGACATAATTAAACCCTTTGTATGGAAACTGTGTCGAAGATTAAAAAACTTGACTACAAGCCTTGATTGAGGCTGTCCACTTACACCCCCTCCAATCATACCGGAAGCATAGTACAGACACACAGACTTCTTGGCACACACAACAAATAAGGTTTAAAGATAAGAATGTCTGCACCCCCATATTCATCAGGAAAGCCCGTCAAGCAGTGAGCTGCTTTGGACTCTCAGCTCTAAGTGAGTCTTTATCTGAGTTTAAGCAGAAATTAAGTGGATGATGTCCTTCGAAATACAAAGCCTTAAATGGACCCGATCTGTTGCCATGGTTGTAAGGACAATTTAGTGAACCAGGAGATTGCAAGGACCAATCAATGAAGACCAGCATTGTTTTCAAGAAACTGCTTAGCCCTTTGGCTTCAGGTAGCTGTTTTATTCTTGAACGATTCCTCTCAGCAATTGGGTCAACATGCACCTCTATTTCTTCTCTCTGCTGTGAATATGTTCCAAGCTAATCAAAGTTTGTGTCATTATCTGTCCTTCTTAAAGTCTATTGTCAAGGTCTGAAAAAGATAGAAGGACCGTCTACACAGTACCTGGTCAATACAGAGATTCAAATTCCGGGTTGTGAAATAAATTCATTCATTAAAATAATAATTAATTTGGGAGGATAAGCAATTAAACCCAGAAATGCATCAATGATGTATTACTATGAGGATTTCACGTGGATTTCCACACACACTGTCCACAGCATTCCTGATAATGTACATCTGTAACGGTACATTTCTTGAATCTGAAGTCACTGGTAGCTATCCAGTATGTCTTCATGCATTAAGCTTGAAACAGAATTACACAGTGGCCTGTAAAACAAGCCATATAATTAATACTAGACCAAGGGCCGGGGAACCGATTGGCTACACTGTCTTCGAGACAAACTGACATCTCCATCACTACAGGAAGTGCTGAGATTTCCCTCCCCGGGAAATCACAGCTGCTTTGCGGACAGGTAATGTAGTCATACGGAGACTGAAAGAAATTGCAATTATATGGCATAATCAAAGTCAAGACAGATATTTTACGAGGTGACATTTGTACAAAGACAGAGTGACCCAGCAAACCACTTGATTGGTGGGGAAAGATTGCACAGATTGGTGCAGAAGTTTGCCATTGAAGCAAAACATGCAATAAATACATTTACATTCAGCCCAGTGCTTTCAATTCTTTTAACAAACCCAGGCTTAGGCGAAAAAAGCTGTTGTTGCAGAACCTCCTACCCCACAGCAGTGGAGCACAGAAGATGTGGGAGGGGTGCAATGGATCCCTGAGGATGACAGTGGCCCTCTAGATGCAGCAGCCGTTGTAGATCTCCTGAAGGCAGAGTGACCCTGGCAATTTTCTCTGCTGTTTTAGTGATCCTTTAGATGGACTTAGATGTCGGACTCGAACCAGGCCATGATACAGTTTGTGAGGACACTTGCAATGGCGCCTCTTCAAAAAGGTGGGCAGGAAGAGAGCTTGTTGTTCGGCCTTCTTGGTCAGGGAGGATGCATGGCGGTTCCAGCAGAGCTCCTCAGTGTGGTGCACGCCCAAAAATGTATGGATGTAAGTGTACAATAAATATATGTAAACTAATTCCAGAAATCGCACAATATGTTTGGTTAAAATATGTGATATATCCTCAACTGCTTATTGTCGGCAAACGCAAGTAGCAACCCTTATTTTCACGTCCATGTGACACGCACTTAACCAGGCAAATGCAGACATAAATAACATGCTGTCCTGTAGGACATCAAAACTAGTTATAATGCATCGTTAGTTTTGTAACAATGACTTCTCTAGAGAGAAACTTTATCCTTGATGTACTTTGTGATCCTTACTTCTGGTTACTTTGTTTTGACACAGAATGCAATGTAAACTGTAATTGTCCTATAAGATACTTGAGTCATTTGTTCTAAATTTAAATTAAACATACTGGACGGTATTTAAATGAGCGTTTAAATACGTACACATTTCCTATTTCTCGGCTTGTCCCTTAAGTGTATCCCTCAAGTAAGCATCACAGCTTGGATCTAAACAGTTTTAATACTTCTGTGGAAATTGATCTTCAATTCCCTTTTGTTAGGCGCTTAGGCTAATAATACATCCAATCTCATGTTCACTGCACTCGATTAAGGGAATGCAGTTGATGCTGCACTTCAAATTACTTAGGTTTGCTAGATTAAAATAAGATATATTTTTGTTAATTTCATACATGAGGTTTAATTAAAATAAAGCTGAGGTATCTTTCAAAAATATTGCATTCTTACGTGTAGCATGTTCAAATGTTCAGAATTAATCAACTTTATTATTACTTTGGGAATTATTAAATCGTTCCATGGTGTTTAGGAGCAATTTTCGTTTTAATAAAAATTCCTGATATCAGAATTGATTTGCGCTGGCTTCCTCGTATTTTTGTGTACGATGCTCACTTTATAAACACTGATTAATTTATCTTGCCATTTACAGCACAGGTTTTATTTTTTTTTCTAGAAGGAAAAAACCAAGGCCGTCATTATAATATATATTTACGGGGGCAGGTCCCCCGCAGCACCGCAGCATTCAGATTGTGCTCACAACATCCCCACCCCCCAGTGTATATTAAAATTATGGCCTTGGTACCCCCCCCCCCCCCCCCCGGCCTACGGCCTTGGAAGAAACCCAGCAAATAAATTAAACGAAATTCAGTTCAAAGCGGTTAGAGATAGCTGGCTGTGCAGTGAAAGTTGCACTTTCCCCCCAAAATGGCCGAAACAGCCGCATGGTGACGGGGGATGTCTCACACTGTGGGTTATGTCCTGGAGAGCCGCCTGCGAATCTCCAGATGTTTCGCCGGATCGCTGCATGTGCGGAATATCAACGCGATCCAC